CCACGTTCCTCAATGAGTGCAGGGGCACAGCTGCCATCTCGCCATGGGCTGCAGGGAAACTTCTGCTGGGGCATCTTCTTCCTCACCAACAACCAGTACTGCTCTCCTTCCCCAGCACAGCTTTTCTCCCCTAAGTCTTTCTCTGCTCAGGTCTTATTTCAGTTCTTTCGTATGTTAATTGCAGAGGTGCATCTGTTGTCTCTTAATGGCTCCTGGGCTGGGTTTGGAGAAGGGGAGCTTCTTACCAGAGCCACTCCTGTGGCCCTTCCTCTGCTACCAGAAACCCCACCAAACCAGAACAGGGAGGAACAGAATACCTAGCAGGATCACAACCCTGGACTTCAGCAGGGCCAACTTTGGCCTCTTCAAGCAATTGTTAGGGGAAATCCCATGGGATAGGGTACTAGGTGTGGTAAAGGGGCTCAAGATAACTGGTCAACGTTCAAGGACCACTTCTTTCAAGCTCAGGATCTGAGCATCCCAATGGGTAGGAAATCAAGAAGGGGAGCCAGGAGACCAGCATGGTTTAGCAAGGGCAAACTGCTGGGCAAACTCAAGTAGAAAACAAGAATCTATAGATCATGGAAGGAGGGGCTGGCCACTTGGGAGGAATATAGGACTGTTGTCAGAGGATGCAGGGAGGCAACTAAGAAAGCTAAGGCCTCCTTGGAATTAAACCTTACAAGTGAGGTTAAAGGCAGTAGAAAGGGCTTCTTCCAATACATTGCAGATAAAACTAACAGTAGAGTCAATGTAGGCCCACTGCTGAATGAGGTGTATGCCCTGGTGACAGAAAATACAAAGAAGACAGAGCTACTGGATGCCTTCTTTGTCTATATTGCTGGAGAATGTCCTCAGGAGCCCCAGACCTCTGAGGCCCCAGAGGAAGTCAGGATAAAGGAGGAGTTTGCCTTGGTTGATGAGGACAGGGTTAGGGATCAGTTTAGCAATCTGAGCATCTATAAATCGATGGGCCCTGATGGGATGCACCCACAGGTGCTGAGGGAACTGGCAGAGATCATTGCTAGACCACTCTCCATCATCTTTGGTAAGTCATGGGCAACAGGAGAGGTGCCTGAGGACTGGAGTATAGCAGATGTCACTCCAGTCTCCAGGGCAAGAAGGAGAACCCAGGTGACTATAGACTAGTCAGCCTCACCTAGCTAGGTTCAGAGAGACAGGTGTGGCCACATACCCTGAAGGACACATTGGGTCAGTATTAGGTGTTACTGTGGCTCCTACAGAGTTATAGCAGGAAAAGATTATGAAATTTTGAAAGGACATACAAGTAAGAGGGCTCTCTGCTTTCACCTGAAAGTGATTGACAGTCTGTTGTGCAGCATTCCCAAGAGGCACAGGAGTGACTTAAGCCTTCTAGTTCCATAAAGGTGAACCAAACTCAAGCTCATTCTTTTTTCATAAATATTGCTAACTGGGAGCTATGATTGAGGGTGGAAGCAGTGTCCACTGCTCAAACGAAGATGAATAGGCACTCACCGAAGAGTAAAAATGTAATGTTTCTTTGTTGATTGTATGAGAATTTTTTTCCATATGTTCAGTCTGTCACCAACATTCTAGACTATATGCAGAACTATGAAAATGTCTTTAGCACCTTGCCATGAGCTTCATCTATCCAAGAAAATATTTCAGCCTATACTGAAGTAGCAGGGTTAATTCATCACTTTTTACAGCAGTGAGACACATTTCTTGTTAAACTGCTGATTCTTCCCTGTTCCAGAGATCACTTGTGCCAAAAGAGCTGCATTGTTTGTTGTTCTATTCTTTTAAATGCATAGCCTTTCAACTCTGCAATTCTAACATATTTAATCAGGACCCTCACAGAATGCAAGCATTACATACACATATAAAGCATTTATTCTTTGATTTATGCATAGCATTCACAATCACAAGAAGATGTAAAATTAATTTAGTAATAGCAACTTGCTGAAAATTTTGTTTATTCTATGAATGCAGATAGTTTATATAATATTTCAAAGGGACTAATAACTACAATTTTGCTCAAGGTTTAGGTCAGTTGGTACGTAATGCTATTTTTCTTGAAGACTACTAATTACAAACCAGACATAAAAACATTTTAATTAAAAAAAATTAACTAGTTTTACTGTAACCCTCTGAAAACCAGCCAGAGCATTGCATGGTAAATCATTTTGCAACGAGTTTGCAATGAAGAATCATAAAAACAAGTAAAATCTTTTTAGCTTATATCACTTCTAAGACTGCTTATTTTACTTATGTAATGTGTCTCTGGTGATGGACTATTAAAAATATATGATCTGGGTAGTTTTATTGGTTTTAAAAGTTGTGTTTAACTATCCTCTCACTTGTTCCCTTAGGGAAGATCTTTGTCATTTAAGACCTTCCTCATCTGGGTTTTAATCAGTATTTACCAAGGTAGGAAAAAGTCCTAATTTTACTGAACTGAGAATTTTTTGTCTGCTATTAGCAATATTGTTTTTCAGCTGCAGGTTGAATTCCCAAAGCTTAACATTTCAGCAGCAGTTATATATATTGCTTTCCGTTTATCTCGTAAATCGATATTCCTGTAGTGTGCCAGGCCTATTGAAAACACAGCACGGATTGGTATTTTTATTGATGCATGTCACCTAAGAAAAGTCATGTTTTTAATTAAATACTAATCCAGAAAAATTTTAATGAGTGCTTATCACATTGCACATATTTACACAGTAGTTTTCTTTCATGGAATTACAGAAGCACTGTTGGAAGAAATCTGAATTATGTAATCAGTTAAAAGTAATTACACTTTCAACAATATCTCATTTATTTGTAGCACTTCACAAATTAAGGTTAATTAACAGTTCATCAGATATATTGCACCAAAAAGTGTTTAATTTTGTAATAGTTTTATTTCTTTACAGCTTTACTTTAGTTGTGTTATTCATGTACACTAAGTACAGCAGGTACCACATCTGTTCTTTTAGAAAGATCAGTGTTGTTACCTTATAGAAGAAATTGTCTCCTCTGAAAACTTGCCAGTAATCAAATGTTCAGTATGCACTCTAAAAACTGGCACAATGGCATTTCATTGCTCGGTGTATTGTTAACTTTGTGTGCCTTTTCTAGGTGGGATTCTGATGTATGGAGCCCTGCTGCTTTTTGAATCTGAATTTGTACACGTCGTTGCCATTTCCTTCACTGCCCTAATCCTGACTGAGCTCTTGATGGTTGCACTGACCATACGAACATGGCACTGGTTAATGGTGGTGGCTGAATTCCTCAGTCTTGGCTGCTATGTGGCCTCTCTTGCATTTCTAAATGAATACTTTGGTGAGTAATAGTAAAAGTATTTTAGCAAACTACTCTGCTTTACATTTCTTATATTTTTCTTCTTTTTAAAAATTAAGAATGCATCATGTTACGCTTTGTGAAATACAGCTTACTCCATAAGGAATATTGCTGAGTTGAAATATTATCTTATCCTTTTCTCCTAGAGTTTGACAGTCTTCATTTCTGTTACTGATTTATCTAGAGGATAAACTTTATTCAAACCATGCATGCTTTTCCCATTCTTGATCTGATCTTGACAGTCCAAACTACATACCTTAAATTAGCTTTGAGATATACACTGTTGAAATACACATGATTTTTAAAAAAACAGTATTTTTCACTGAGTTAAGCTACTTTGTGTGCCAGATCAAGTGGACCTCACTAGATCTAACCCAGGAGCTTAAAAACACTGAAGTATTGCTGCAAAGTGAGGCAGAAGGCAGTATATGTAGATACTTTATAAGAATCATTGTTTCATAATTACATAAATCTTACATGGATGCTGCTTTAAATTGCAGTATGCTATACTGTGTCATAAGGTTCTGATTGTTCATAGTTCACAAGATGAAAGAACACATTTTACCTGCAGCTCTTAGCCATCAAGGATCTGAGCATCAAAATAATACATATTTCTTTTTATATCAAATCATATTTCAGTAAAAACAGCTATCTCAGTGTGTTTTTACAAATGTAACTTTTACAGAAATATATATAACATTTTCCAGAGGCTGATGAGTAAGGAGTTGCCCTTCCTCAGTTGTCACTTCTCATAGCAAAAATATATGTTATATGGTAGTTTCTACGAGTCTCATAGTTCACTCTCTGTGAACACCTGTCCCAGGTGTTCAACACTAAGGTAGCGCATTTACGTTATATAGTTATTTTTTAGTCAGAAAGTGCTTCACTGCCTGCCCCCTCCCCGTTCTGTTCCTTCCCAGATTTCTCAGCAGTTGAATTTTCATGAAGAAACAACCTTAGTGGGCTTGGTACTTGCATTGTACGTTATTTCTTGTTTGCCAGAGTACCTTATTCTTTTCTCTGACACTGATGCACAGACTCTTTCATAGAGTTGATTGGGTTGATTCCTGAATCTCCACAGCCAAATTACAAATGAAAGGAACAAACAAGAACAGACACAGGTACTGGCTCTGTACTTCCAGGAACTTCATAAATCATAACCTGTTGCTTCACTTTTGTAAGTCTTTAGTATTGGTGACAGCCAGTCCTTGCATCCATTATAGGTGTTGTTCAGTGAGGAATACCTTTAGGTGGTGTTCACAGATGCATAAAAACTGCAGGACTTTGTTTCTTTCAAACCTTTCTGTGAAGGGAGTGCTTTACTATCCTCATGTATTTGCTGAACAAGTCCAAGCAACTCAGTAAGTAAATAGTTGCATGGCTTCTTGCAGCCTGGGGACTTAACTTCTGTATTTTTCATCATTTAGGGTACTGAAAAGGCTTCAGTTTAATTGACTCATTTTACTGTGTCATTAATCAGTTAATCTGAGAAAATGCTTTTCAGTCTCACTTCTGCTTAATGCTTTACTCTTATTTAATCTGTCACAGTATAACTGGGGCTTTTTTTTGTGCATGTAATGTAGTATAAACTTAACCTATGGTTTACAGTTCAAGTTATAGAACAACTTCCATGTATTCAGGAAAACAATCCAGTCCAATAATGCTTGACTTCATTGGCAAATAAACTGGTTCTTTCAATGATGTTACTTATAAGCCTCATCTCCTCCCAAAGAAATTATGACAAGACATTCACTTTGGAAAGACAAAAAAATATGTGCTACCAGTCTACAGCTCTGACTCATGGAAGTAAATAAGTTTTTAGGTTTCTGAATTAATTGCAAACAATGACCTTATTAGACATGCCTCTGTTATATGTTAATAGGCTTGTAGTATGTCTAAGCAAAGTTAAAACTGTTAAAACTGTGTAACAAGTTTAAACACTGAAATCTAAAATCCCAGGTATTTTTAATGAGTAAAGTTGGAACAGTAAAGCATTTCTTTACTGCATTTTCTGAAGTCAATTTTCATTCATTTTAAAATGTTCTGATCAGGTTGTTTATGCAGTAAACTATACCTTGAAGCCAAATGTAAAAAAATTACCTACCTACTTACAACCTTAAAACATGACAAAATATAAAATCTCTATATTTTTAATAGTCTTACTGTCACATGAAAGACAATAATAATCCAGCTAATGCTACTAATATAATTTGCATTTCCTTTTTGTGTGGCTAACCTGTTTGGGGTTTTTTGACATAACTTTTATATTTTCTGTAAATCTATCCTTTCATTTTCATTCTCCCTCTGTTAAACAGGTATAGGCAGAGTGTCTTTTGGAGCTTTCTTAGGTAGGTGAAATTTAACTTTTCTTGAAGTTTTAAGTTTAAAAATCCATTAAAGAATAGTAGATTATTTAATATACACCTTTGTAAATAATGGGGGGGTTGGAAATCAGCCATAGTTTTTCAGGTTACCTGGGTTCTGGGATCTTTCCATGATAATTAAGTGTGACCTGATTGTGGCAAATGTGGTAAAAAAATGTCAATAGCAAGTGTAGGATGTCACCATTCTTGTTAATGTTTGTCACAAAAAATAACTTTTCACTGTGGCTTGTGGCAATACCACTACTTGTTTTCCCTTTTAATTTTTGGGCTTTAAGTTTTTAAGACTCATTGAGTCTATGTTGAGACTGTTTGAGAGAGAAATAATCTGAATATGGAATAAAGGATCCAAAATGGTAATAGAATTTCTGGTTATGAACTTGTATTATAGTGGGTTCTCACTAGTAGAAAAATTAAGTTGGCTTAATGTTCTAATATGAGAATGTCTTGCTTTTAAACTGAGATTTTGTTTCCCCTAAAATTATTTTGTGCTGCAATACAGTGTAAGGACCATAAAGGAGCTTCCTGTCTAAAGAAAACGGTTGGCAAAACCAGAATGTTGAGGTTAACTTTCTGTTGTTTTGTTGCCTTTTTTTAAAAAAAATAAATGGCATGGTCTTGAATGATAGCAAAGAAGTAAGAGTTTTGTATTGACTTTTACACTATGGAAGATCCAGTTTCCATGTTATCAGCTCCCATTACTTAATTTCCCTCTTTGTTTCTGCAGATGTTGCCTTTATCACAACTGTGACCTTCCTGTGGAAAGTGTCAGCAATCACTGTTGTAAGCTGTCTTCCACTTTACATTCTCAAGTACTTGAAGCGCAAATTTTCTCCTCCAAGTTACTCCAAGCTTACCTCGTAAAAGTAATTATATGCCTATGGTTTTGCAGTCACAACTGTCTGCATATTGCACATTCACCGTGCTTTAGTGTCTCTGGATTTATGTTGGACTAAAGAAATTTTTTAAAATAAATAGAAGTGGTAGAATGAATAGAGCACAAAAGGAGGAGGAAAAATCTGACAGGTACAATAACATGGAAATACACTAACTAGACTATCCAATATAAAGTTTCTTCTTGTTATTTTTTTTTTACTTTCAGTTGCTATGATTATAAAATAAAACCAAGTTACCTTTGATTTGACAATGCTTCTGAATGTTTTCATTGCTACTGTAAAGGATTTTTTGATACTGTGAAGAATTTTTTCCTACCGTACTAATCTTCTGCGAGTTGAATTGAAAGTTTTGTTATTAATTACATAACTTCCCTTCTTTAATTATTACCTAATTTAAATCTTTTCCCTCAATGTTTATATATGGAAAAGTTAATTTGTCCATACCTACTATAACAAAGCTAATACCTGTAAATGCCTGTGTCTGTGTTAGCAGCTACTATTATTCCTCATCAGACATTGAGTAATATGCACTATTTGAACTATGTACAGATGTCTGCACAGCACAGTATTATTTTAGGAGCTATTGTCCTATTCTGTACTCTCCATTTCTGGCACCAGTAAAAATAACAGATCTGTGATGTTGACAGCAGTTCTTTAAATGCACATTACAGCCATGTTGCACAAAAGCTGTTTCAAAATTAAATGAGAAAATCTGTACATAATTCTACTGCACTTACCGATCTGTACAGATCTGTGGCTGCTCAGTAAATATGTTTTAAAATTCTTAGTCATTTTGTATTTGTAAAACTGCAAATAGTGTCAAAAGTACATTCTATAAATGAAAAGTCCAGTAAATCTTGTATTAGCTAGTATGTTTAAATTGCCTTGTAATCTGTTTACTTAGGTTACTCAGGTAAAAGAAAGTAAGATGAACACATGAACATTCTGGTAGGAAAGTCTGTCATCTTCCAAGCTGTAAATGTTATGTTTTTATAACTTTGAGTGCAGACTTGTTGAAAAACAAAAACCAAACATTTTTGCTTGTTGTAAACTGTCAGAGTTGAGTATCTTGGCTGAGTCATGACACTTTACAGCAGTTGAAGATTTGTTTCAGAAACTCATATATTCTGATACTATCTGAAGAGTCCAAATCTTGCATACTGTGCTAGGAAGTAAGATACATTATTTTAGTTTTTCATTGTGATTTAACTTTGCTTTCTTGAGAAGTACGTGTAACAATTTGGCATAGTCTGTTCATCAGTGGAAAGGAAAACATCATTATCCATGCTTGAATTATTTATGTGTATGTTTTTATAAAACACTTAATATAGATGTCATTTTTATGTTTGACTGTATGCCTTTACAACAAAATTCCTTGTTTAATCTCCTACAGTTTTGCCTTTATGCCATTGTTTATTTTATGAGTAATATTTAAGTGATCAATATAACTACTTCCTGGGAGAGCAAAGGAAACTGCTGCAGTTATTTGGACTCCATTAAGTGTTGCTTTGGAAGTTTTTCTTACTAGCTATTGATCTGCTTTTTTTAAAATTTTATTTTCCATTCCTCATTATAAAAGCAATAAAGCCTAATTTCTACCAAATGTTATTACTGGTATATGTATTAAATGAACTACCGAAGTAGTGTTTCTTTTAATTACACAGCATTGCAGACTAGTTTGCTCTGTTCCTTTGTAGATTCAGCTTCTGTGAAGCCCCCACACGATGGCACTGTTCTTGCATACTAGCGGAAGCCTTTCTTCATTTTATGCTGTTTCAGCTAGGTACACTTGGGTTTATATTTTTAGTTTAGTCCCATGATATTTTTGTCACTGTTTTGCTTTAATTTTCTGTTTTTCCCCAATAAGTGGTACCAATTTTGGATCAATTAGGAGTAGTCACCAGTGTGCAGTTGTTCTGAAGTTCTGATGTTTTCTTCAGACCTTTTTTTCTTACACATTGTGAGCTTGTAACTATATGCATAAGATTTAGTAGATAAGAAAAAACTTAGAGTTGGTCATCCTTCATCTATATATTACTTCTTTGTCATTAGGCAGAAAAGGAGAAGAAAATCAGAAATTAAATGGGCAGTATGAAAGTGTTAGTGTTACCATAGTACAGCTGTATGAGATACATATGGGCACAATTGTACAGAATTTATAGTGTACATATATTAATCCTCAGCATTAAGGTTGTAAGATTAGTAAGACAGCAAATTTATAGATCCTACACACAGATCCAAGCCTTTTGATAGTGAAGTACATTCTCAAGACTGCCTGCTTTCTTAGAGTGTTTTCATTATGCAGCAAAGGTCTCGTTTCAGCTGGCACTTTATTTTGAAGACTGCTGAAGTCTGATTGAGATGACTTGTCTTGCTTTTGAGGTTCAGTCACTGCAAACCTATGTATACCAGAGGAGTCTGCTTTCTCTTAAGTCATGTCACTCAGCCATAGACCTGTAAATGGGTAGCACTACCAAGTCACAGTGTTTTACAGGTAACAATACAGAATTCAAGTATTGTAATATGACATTTTTCAGTAGAAAGCTTTAATGTGTTGTGGATTTCAGGACAAAGCAAGCTATACTATCACAATCCCTGGCTCTTAAAGCAGTCTAGAATGGTAACATATCTGGTATGCAGGTGAGTAAATTATTTCATTAGAATCATAGAATGGTCAGAGTTGGAATAAAGATCATCAAGTTCCAACTCCCCTGCATGGACACCTCCCACTGGATCAGGCTACTCAGAGCCCCATCCAACCTGGCCTTGAACACTTCCAGAGATAAGGCTTCCACAACTTTCCTGGGAAGCTTGTTCCAGTGTCTCATTGTCCTCAGACTAAAGGATTTCCTCCTGATCTGTAACCTAAATCTCTCTTCTTTCAGTTTAAAACCCTTGAACCTTGTCCACTCACTACAAGCCCTGGTAATGAGTCCCTCCCCAGCTGTCCTGTAGCCCCTTCAGGTATTGAACAGCTGCTATGAGGTCACCCCAGACTCTTCTTCAGGCTGAAAAACCCCAACTCCCTCAGCCTGACTTCATAAGAGAGGTGCTTCAGCCCTCTGATCATCTTCATGGCTGTTCTCTGGACACATTCCAACAGGTCCACATCTTTATTGTGTTGAGGGCTCCAGAGCTGGACACAGTACTCCAGGTGAGGTCTCACCAGGGCAGAGTAGAGGGACAGAATCACCTCTCTCAATCTGCTGGCCAGACTTCTTTTGATATGATGCAGTTGGTCCTCTGGGCTGCAGTTGCACATGGGTGGCTCATGTCCAGGTTTTGGTCCACTAGTACTCCCAGTTCTTTTTCCACAGGGCTGCTCTCAAGTGTGTCATCCACCAGCCTGTGTTCAGCTTACACAAATCCATATTTAAGCCTTGGTTCTGCACGTTCCACCCAAAAGGAGCTAAGTTTTATTTAGTATTAAATGAGCACTTACCTTTGTCATCTGCTGTGTCAGATGTGTATTTCTGAAATGGTAATCATGTCTCTTTGAAAACGTATTTGGAAAATAATATCAGAATTGGGATAGGATAGAGGAGCAAGAGACGAACAGAAACTGTCTTCACCAGCATAACGTATGTAACAATACTCACCTGTTTGGACCATGTTTAATCAGCATATGAGCTAAACATGTATGAGATTTCCTATGCAGTTTGATGGAAGAACACAGGGAAGAGGAGAGATCCTGCAAAAAAACAAGTGCTGGTAATTATTACACTGTTTTTCTTCTGTTGCTATTCTAAACTTATATGTTCATGTAACTCCTGGAAAGCATTTTACTACACAAGCTATTAGTCTGCAAATGGAAAGCAAAATTAAATCTGTGCATACTTATCATTAAATCTGTAGCACTCTTCCACAAATGTGTTTACAACTGTGTTTTATGTTCAAGCTGACCTTGCTGGGACATACCATAAAAATTCAGCTGTGTGGTATACTTCAGGTTTTCTTCCTGAAACTTCTGAGTGGTTGTCCAACATGCCATCCCTTTTGTACATATGTAAGAAAAGTGTATTACCTTGATGAGCAGCATCCACTTAAGGCAACCTTGTGTTGTAAATGTCATCATACCCTGTGTCCACAAGAGAGTGCAAGCCTAAATATTTTTTCAGTCTCCTTTTAAAACATGCTTGCGGGAGGGGACTCTGCAGTTGGGAACCTTTAAAGACTGGATATCAGTTCTGCAGGTATTAAGCAAGAATGTTAATATTCATGTATATAGTTAAACAGCTATTAGTCATAGGGGTGGACTTTTGTAGAAAAAGAGGTGAGTATTTCCCTGCATACTGCTCTTACACCCATTTGTGTGAGTTAAGGAGTAGGCCTAAGCAGTATAATTTCCATACTCCTCTGCAAGCTTGTTGCTGTCTCAAGGCATTCAGATTACTCTGAGGAAGAACCAGACTCAGATCTACTGGTGAGCTGGGCATTGCATTCTTGGTATCAGCCTGCATCCCTACACTTATGTGCACCTCTGCCTTGCTCATGTACCCTCACTAGTGAGTTCCTTTGTGGCTGGAGGTTGAGGCTGTTTGTGCCTGAACCACCTTTATTTGCATATTTACCACAGGAATGATGGTGATGCAGGCCTGGGGTAGGGCTCACTGGTCAAATGGCAGTATAGACTTCCTCAGAGGCTTTCAGGATTGCCTGTCAACAAAGATACTCTGATGTGACCTGTGTTCCCACTTCAGCAGAGCTCTGTATCCCTGGCTTTTGCATTGGCAAGATAACTTGCAAGAGGCTTGCATCTGTTTCACACTTGCATCCTTCACATTTCCCAAAGTATTCACGTGGTTCCAACAGCCTCCACAAAGGAATTTGGTGCAGAGTATGTGCAAAAGGACAGTGGAGCCTAGGTGAACAGTGCTCCTTAAAAAGTGATAGCCACAGGAGAGGTGCCCATTCTGCGCTCAGTACTGTTGCAGAATCTGGTCCTGTAGGTTCTGCATACTCTGACATCCATTTCGATTTTAGCTTCTGTACAGTTGCTCCTTAATTTTGCTGGCTAGAAAGGAAAGAATTGGGCCAGCAGTCTCTTACAATACTTCCTTTAACAACCTTTCTGTAACTAGACTGTTACTATTATAGCTGAATTGAATCTTAAAGGCAATCAAAAAAGCCTTTTGATATGTTAGCCCCCTGTAGGGAGGAAAACCAGTACAAGTGAACAAAGACAACATGGATCAAACATGACAAGTAAACAAACAGGAGGTGCAATATCTTTAACACTATGCTAAAAAGCGCTGGAATTCCTTTTGTAAACAAAACACGCTTAAAGTGAGATACTTCCCAAAAAGTTTTAACTACCCAACAGATGTCCTCAGCAGGGTTTCCCAGCTGTTATTGTGAGGGGGAATTTGCTCAGCCAATTGCTAACAAAATGCTTCTCAAATAGGGAACTGCACTGCAAGACCTATT